TTTATATATCTTTTTTCTAGCTTTATAATTGATCCTAATAGGTATAATAATTAAGACCAATAGACATAAAATTAAATATTATTAATATGCTTAACGTTTTTTCATGCATAAAGTAGTGGAAAACATTAAATGTTTAACTCTTTTCCCACCTATAAAGTTTAAAATTCAAATTTAAAAAGTTTAAATTTTAAATATAAAATATTTTTTCACCAAATAGACATAATAATAAATGTTATTAATAGGCTTAACAATTTTCCATATATAAAGTAGTTGAAAACATGCATAGAATGTTGCGCACATTCTCCAAGTAAAAGTCTATAAAATACTTAATGGCAAACATCCTTTTATTATGCAGAAGTTGGATGGTCATTCATTTTAGTTGAGTTATTAATAATAATAAATAATTATTAAGATTTGTGGCTTTTTCAACAATCTAAATTATTTATGTTTCTTAAAATTAAGCCCAATAGACATTGATAGGGAATAGTTGAAGAATTGTTAGGGAATAAAATAACAAAAAAGAGATGTTCTTGCCAAAAAGTCAAATTATTTAAAATAAGATTGTCTCATTCTTGTAAGTGGGGATTATAGTGTAGGATACATAAGAAAATTGAGAAGAAAAAAATCTTGAATATAAGTGATACTAAACAACAAAATATCAAGTTCGATTTTGATCTCGTTTGATACCTTTTTTTGAAGACTACAACCTCTGGTACATTTGAATCCAAGATAATCCTTGTCATATATAGAGACAATTAGAGTATAAAAGAGTTAAAAATAATTAACAAATATTAAAAAAAAAAATTAAACCCTTTATCCTCGCAAGCTGGAGTATTATGATGTTATGAGAAGACTGATTGTTTGCCAAAAACGTTCGCACTTCATCCACATATTGTTCACATAAAGTGACTCGAGCTTGTGACCCCTAAAACCCTTAATTCTTGCAAGCTGGACGATTACAACGTTTTGAGGAGACTCGTTCTTTGCCAAGAAGGACTGCACTTTATCCACATGTTGCTCCCACAAGGAACGAAATGGAAAAAAAAGTAAAAAGAAACTAACAGAACGCAAAGTATTACCTTCTCATCTAATAGAACCATGTCCAGATTGTTGTCAAAATATTTATGCTGAAAATTAGGAACCTTCCAAGTCCTAACCACTCTCACCTTAATCCTCCACTCCTCCTTCGACGGATTAAGATCCTTAATGAAATCATACATGGAGTACATATCTGACACCAAAAAAGGTTGAGAAGATGAAGATACAACATATAACACATAAGAACAGGATGAGGAGGGGAAAAATCACAAAAGGCGATGACCAAAGGAAAGAACCAAGCAACACATATGATATATATATACACCTTCCAAAATGGAGTGAGGAAATGAACTCGCTCCACTGCCACATTTAATTGGCTCCGAAACCGTGGATGAGAAAGAGGGAAGACTTGGATCGTTGTGGGTCTTGGGGACCCAACAATGCATAATGGTGCCATCGCCGAGATCTGTGGTGGTGGATTTGAGACCCGTGTTCGAGAAGGAGTAGCGGAAGCACCTGTCACGCGAAGCAGTGAAGCTGAAACATCTAGCCATCTCGTGTGCTTTTTTTTTTTTGGATAAAAAATTATGTTGTTTCAAGAAAGTTAAGGAGAATCAGTGTTGAGTTTGATAGATTATGCAGGGAAAATGAAATGATTGGTTGATGATGGAGGAAACAGTGTTAGTGTTGTCGTCAATTGTTGCAGAGCGATAGATAGAGAACAGAGAGAGTCATTGACCAGAGGATGAGGAGGGGAAGAGTCACAAAAGGCTATGACAAAAGGGAAGAACCAAGCAAAACATATGATATATATACACAACTTCCAAAATGGACCTGAAAAGTCTCTGAACTTCTTTTATTGTGTGCAGTGCATCATCATTTACATTTCAAATTTAATATTAAATGCACCTAACAATTACCCATGCATAAAGTAGTGGAACTTTAATTCAGCCTAACCCCACAAAGATAATGATTCCCTTTTTTTCCTCTAATTAATATTAATTTTGGATTTTAAATTAATTTTCGATTAAAATAAATTCCAAAAGAAGAAACTTTTCAAACTTTCTCAAGTGTGAACACATTGGTGAAATTGAAGGAGGGAGTGACACATCATCAAACTTTCCAATGATGTTTATTCCCTTAGTATATATAATGATTATACTCCGTATTTATTCATATTGTAAGGCAGGTATCAAAATTTTTAGTCGGTGCATTAATTATCAAGCAACTAACGAGAAAATATTATATTATGACTCAATATTTGAATTGTAATGTGGCTTGATATTTAGATAAAATGCATATTGAATGAATGCAAGGCGTCTAGAAACAAGATGTGCTTCACAAAACAATAAGAAAAATCTCTCTTACTGACGTTGAGGTCACCGTCTCAAAAGCTAACTCAAAGTGTGGGAGTGCACATCCACGGCAACTTTCACTATCGACATTGACCCAATGGTAGCCCTTTTCCCCTTTAGAGTGACTTCACTCGCCTATCAGTATCAGTAGCCCTTTCCTTTCGTGGTCTCAATTCTTAATGAAAGTACCAATTGTTACGGATCTTGAGATCACCACGCCAAAAACTAGCTCAAAAGATGAGAGTCACTAAAACCTTGTAAACTCAACGTTAATTTCCTATACAACGACTCGTAACAAACTCAAACTCCTGATTTGACCAAAGAGGAAGAAAACTATATAAAACTCAAACTCACACTTTGACCAAACAAAGATCATGCGTCATCTCTCATGCTCCTTCGGTCTTGAAAGCAGGCCAAAAGAAATTTTTTATCATTCTTGTTTTTGTTTTCTTTTCTAAATTTCGGGTTCGAATAAGTTGACTTTATTCATGCCTATACCAGGTTAATAATGTCTTTTGCCTTCACTTCGGCCTTGGATGGAAAATCATTCGTTGATCTTTTTTTTCATTTTTTTATACATTGGAAGCAACAAGGTTTGAACTTATGATTTCATATATTACCTCAATTTTTCATGGCTAGACTAATTTTAGTGGCTTATTTGTTGATTTCTTTATGCATTTTAAGTCATGTAATTCTAATTCTCGGTCAATGACATTAATCCTAAAATAAACAGGTTTTGCGGGTAATTATAAATACTTTTGTTTACGTATTTTACTTAATCAATTGATATATTTTAATTGGAATATTTGATCTAAAGGACCAAAACCTTGGTGCAATATGTCGTCGATTATTACCGTTGTTTAATGTCATATGCAAGAAATTTCAATGCCATGCTTGAGTCTTCAATATTTCATTTGAACCATTTGAATATAAATTCGTCGCTGAATTAGAATATTTGAACAAAACGGTCAATGTCTTCACTCTTCATTGTATGTTCAAGTTAAACTTACTTGGCAATTATTATTATTATTATTATTTTTAAATTATAAGCCGGTTTTAAATGATGTAAGTGTTTTTATTTTCATATCAACTTTATAATTTTATATTAAAAAATTGTGATAAATACTATATTTGAATGTTGACTGACCAGTTCAGCGGAAGTTCCGAAAGAGACCTCACTACTTTCACGTGAAGCAGCTGCTTTGCTCATACGTCGGTTGGGTTTCGTAACGGCCCTTCTCGCGCCCCAATTTTCAAATCCACCCCCACGCGCTTCTTATTCATAAACGCGCCTCACCATGCAAGAACATTTCATTGGAACAGTGACCATTGTGCCACTGTTCTCTAACTTTTTTATCTAAATGCCACGCGAACAGTATTATTTTTCAATCTGCCACGGGGCAAATTCGCTTCTGACACAAGCGACCTCGGTTTGCTGACGTGTCAGCTTCCTGGTGGTGTCAGAGTTCGCTTCTGACACAGGCGACCTCGGTTCCAACAATATTTTAATCAAGTTCTTCTGCATGATAGACGAACTTCATTTTTTTTGAATTTTTTTTTAAATTTAATACTTATTATCCACAAAAAATGTGACACGTCAGCAAACTGATGTCGCTTGTGTCAGAAGCGAACTTGCCCCGTGGCAGATTGAGAAATAACACTGTTCGCGTGACATTTAGGTAAAAAAGTTGATGAATAGTGACATTTTGGTCAGTATCCCCATTTCATTCTACTTTATATATAACAGAAAATTTGTAATTATATATGTGAGAGGTTATTTTACTACCATTGCTTTTTTTTTTTTATAAGCATTTTACTACTTTTACTTACTATTATTAAAAGATTATTAGATCAGAATTTTAATTAATATATTTTTTTAAATTATGATTTATTGATGTTGTAGAGTAGTAGATAAAGGTAAGTAGAAACCTATCATATTATGTATATTTATTTTTGGAAAAATAATTTTTACTTTTATTACAAAGTTTATTTTCTCCGCCACTCATAGGAGAAAGGGAAAGACAAACAAATAAAGAAAAAGAGAAGCAAACAAAGAGAAAAAAAGGATAAATGTGATGGAGCCCACTGCTATTTTAGTATAATTTTTTTTTTTTTTTTTACATAAATATAGAAATTATGTCCCCTTTGTTTTTTAGAGCAGTTAAACTTGTTATTATATATATATATATATATATTTTTGATAACATTATATTTTTTCTTTGTTATGCACATTGTGTTTAATTTTTAATTTAAATTATTTTAAATTAATTAATAAATTTAATATTTATCTTTTTAAATGATACAAAGTCATATTTTTTTTTATTTAAAAGAAAGTTTAGTGTTTGTCATTTAAAATGACATAAATTATGTCATTTTAGGAGAAAGATTAACACAGAAAAACGAAAATCATGGGAGAGAGAAAGTGAATGGTTTTTTTTATTTAAAATTCAAATTTTCTGTGTCTGTATCTCTCTTAAAATGACATAATTTTCTGTCGGACATTTTTTCTTTTAAAATAATATAATTACATATCCATTAAAATCACATGCAGCGAGTCACTTTCTTCATTACGTTTTGAGGTTGAAGTTCGAAAGAAGGGAAGGTATGCGCATTGCGCACCCATGCCGTTACTTAATCATATCTTAAGAAACAGAATCACTATCTCCCATTCCATTCTCTCTCTCAACCATCACTTTCTTCTCATTCCCCTCGCCACCATGACTTCCGCCGCAGCCTCTGCCGTCGACGACGCCAAGCACGGCTTCTCTCGCCCGGAGATGTACAAGGACAACCTCGCCGGCACCGTCGATGCCTACGACCGCCATGTCTTCCTCTGTTACAAGAACCACCTCGCTTGGCCCCCGCGCGTCGAGGCCTCCGACGCCGATCCCCTCCCCAAGAGCGTCGCCACCGCTTTCAGAGCTCGCAAAAACGACATCGCCGTCAAGGTTTAATACTGCGTTTTCAAGTTCGGTTGGTTTGTGTCGTTGTGATTTTGTTGTGATCTGATTTTCGTTCTGATTATGATTTTGCTTCGTTTGGTTGTTCGCAGACGAAAATCACTGTGTGCGAGGCGCGTGAGGAGGTTGGCTTCTCCGACGGAGACGTTTTGATTTTCCCCGAAATGATCAAATACAGGTAAACCACGCGATTTTCTTCTTTTGCTGATTCATTGTGATTCTCTAATTCGCATAATTGAAATTTTAAACTAACTTAGCTAGAGTGATCAATGTTATTTGGTTGAAGCAGAACGTCACTGATTGAGTTGTGTTTTGTGGTTCTTGTTTTAATTGAAAGGGGTTTGGAGGAATCAAATGTTGATAGCTTTTTTGATGATGTTATGGTGAGTGGTAAAGCATGGAGTGGTGGTGGAGTGCATGATGTGTTGACGGGTTCGCATATTTTTGTATGTGCTCATGGAAGTCGCGACGTGAGGTGCGGTGTTTGTGGGCCGGTTCTTATGCAGAAGCTTAATGACGAAATTGAGCTTCGGGGATTGAAGGATCAGATATCTGTTGTGGCATGTTCTCATATTGGTGGCCATAAGTATGCTGGGAATTTAATCGTATACAGTCCAGGACCAGATGGAAAAATTATGGGTCACTGGTCAGCTCTCAAACTTGTGTTATGTGATTATATGTTCTGTAATCTTGAAGGAATCTAGTGTTGCTGGTTTAATTTTAGTTCTTAATAATGAATTACAGGTATGGCTATGTTACTCCTAATGACGTGCCTGCCTTGTTGGACCAACATATTGCCAAGGGAGAGGTCATACAAAAACTTTGGAGGTTGCTACCTTTTTTATTTTAATTTTATTCTGCATTTTATATCTTTAAATGAAATGTTAATTTGAAGGATATATTGTTTGTACAGACAAAAAGAATACAATTATAAAGCGTTTTTTAGATTCTTAAAGTGCTCTTCCATTGGTTTTTGGACTATGGTAGTGTGGACTTAAAAAGATGATCAACGTTTGATCTCCACGTGGGTATGTATAGTTGATTTAAGCAGTGTTTGGATAGTTGGAGACAACATCATCCTTCTGTGCATCCTTCTAATTTATAAAACGGAATCTCCATTTTGTTAATAAGCACACAAATGATCCAGTGCATAAATTTACAGCTAATTAAATTTTTTGTTTTTAGCCCCACTAATGAATAAGCCTGCAGACAGGTATATCAGAACTAGTGCAATCTTTATTTGTCACGAGCTTATTTTTCATTCGCTTGTCAGAATGCTGCCATATGGTTTGTTTCCTTTGTTGTGGTTCTGTCTGATGAATTTGGATATGCTTATACATCTAATTTATTACTATTTTAAATAACCAAAGGAGAACGTTATTTGGTTGTTTCATTAAGTAGTATATCGTGTATGATACTGTTTAGGCGCTTGTTCTTGTAATTCATTGTATCTTAAGCACTTCAAGTATAATGGAGGATGATTAAATTTAATTATATGAAATTGTTTCAGGGGCCAAATGGGGCCACCTATTGCTGGTGTTAACGGAACAGATGATAAGAAACTTGCTAACGGAAATGATACTGGCAAGGCCAAGAAGAATGACGTAGAAAGTAACAATCTGAGCAACAATGAAAATGTGGTTGGTTGTTGCCAGGGCGTTAATGGGGTTTCTTGTTGTAGAAGTACAAGTTTTGAGCAAAACAAAGAGATTGGTGAAACCACTGAAGCACATAAAAAGCAGGGGAGCAAAATAAGTTGGAATTGGCCTGTATTACAGGAGCGTGAGATTCTTACCACTGCCGGTATACTTGGAGCTTTGGCAGCTGTTGCTGTGGGTTACGGATTTTATAGAAGGTCAGGCTGAAATATGCTCTAAATTCTAATCACAGGTTTTTGGTTCTTGGAGGTTTATGACCCTTACTTTTTTAGTAGAGGGGTCTAATAACATCTGGAAATAATCATGAGAATAAACTCTACGTAAGTCACAGGTACAAGTTGGTTTGAGAGATGTGTAGCAAGAGATTTATTGATGAAAACTTTACTTATTCTTTTTAAATTCAGCACAATTATGATCATGTATTTATTTCTTTACGTTACTGGTTTTCTAGTAAATTTAAAGTTTACTGTGATGATTGAACTTGGGCTGGTTATCTCTGTTTTTATGTTTACGATGTGTATTTCAAAAAAATAAATAAAAAGTTGCACCCATTGAATCGTACACTGGCTATGGGAAGTTTTGGAATATTTGCTGTGTCGTGTTTGATATAATTGTACGTTCGAACACAGGTGCTGATAAAATGTTGATTTGCTTGTACAACTGTTTCAAAAGTAGGGCAAACAACATAGGGATGGTGAAATCATATTTTGTCTTATTAAGAGAAAAAAAAAAAAGAAACGCCGGCGCATTTTCTACCAAGTTTGGACATTGTTAATAATAAATCAGAAAGTAACATCAGATATTAGACTCTTGTCAGATTCAATCTTTAAAAGATGGAAAACCGGTATCAGTAATGTTGAAAGTCAAGTACACCGATCATTTGACATCACCAATATCAAACTGGAATCATACCAGATGATCACTAACCAATCTTATGTACACAGAAATGTTTCACATTAATATTTTCTTGAAATTAAATTCCTAAACCAGAAGTCCTTGTCAAAAAAATCATTAATACCAAAAAGTTAGAAAGAAAAAAGTGATGGACTGCATTGTGATTTCGAAAACCGTGTTTATTTGAAAGATCATGAATTGAGCTTCGCAATCATCTCCTCTACCAACCTGAAAGTAGTATCTGTCAATTCCTCTCCTTCTGCATCAATTTCTTCCATGATCTGTTCTATAAGCTCACGATTAATTTGCCTACGTCTTGAGCTATAATTGGAGCAGTCCCTCAGAAGCAACAACAATTCTCGAGCCATGGATTTGGCTCTCTGCGTTCCATCCATGCTTAACTGAAGCAATCCTGGCATCACTCCCTCTCTCAAAATCAATCCTCTGTACTTTTCTCTACAGCTCTTGCATATAAGGAGAAGTATACCCACTGCATGCTCTTTTCCTAGTAAAGATCCATCTTCAATAGTCTCAACCAGTATCCCAATTGCTCCCCCAGCACTTGCAGCCTCACAAAGTGCACTCTCTGATGAAAAGACAATATTTTCTAGCAACCCAATTGCTTTCTCAACCAATGGAGATGATTTTACTGATATGTGAATCAGTTCAAGCAAGGAGAGTATAACACCGGAAGAGACAATCAATGGTATAATCTCTTGGCAGGTTGAGAGGTTGTGGAGAGTAGCTATAGCATCAAGCTGGGACTGAGTGCTGCCCCAATTAACAAATTCAGCCAATACTTGTACAGCCCCAGATGAAGCAATTGCTACCTTATTTGCCTTGCAAGAAGAGAGGATTAACATGGCTGCTATTGTCAATTGTGCCACTGTTTGGCTTTGAGAATGGAGGAGACTCAGGAAAATTGGCAAAGCTTCAGACTGGATGATCCTAATCTTGTTTCTGCAAAATTCGTGAAAGAGTTTCTGTAAGATTTCACTAACTGCTAAGGAAAGTTTTGAAGGCACTCGTACAATAGAAGGAATTTACATTCTCCCTTGTGTTTATACATTACTTTTTGGCAAAGAATCGTTATGGTCAGTGGAGGAGGACCCACGAATTTTTTCTATGTGTGCACGCTTAAGACCGGGGTTTGGAGGCAAAAATTTTAAGTTTTACGATTTTTTATCCTCCTTGTGATTTTACGATTTTTTATCCTTCTTATGATTTTTGGTAAGATCCCGATTTTAACTATCATGGTTGAGCTTACGTTTACTTTTTTTTCTTTTCAATCTTCTAAATCTTTTTTTTTTTTTACTTTATCTAAATCATCCACCCCTTTGAATTTTTTTTTTTAAAGTTTTGTATCTGCATGTGGAGACATAGGCAATAGCGTCAGTCCGTATAATAGAATCTACTATTAAGCAATGGCAAGCATTATTACCAAGAACATATTCCTTATCCCACTAGAAAAAAAAACCAATCATGGGGTACTAAAAAGTTCAAACTTTTTAATTACTCCCGTACAGTGTTGGGTTGAGTATGTTTTATTTTCTCTAATCTTGTTAAAAAAAAAAAACACTTCCCGTTAAACCCGACTAGCGAGTGTTATGGAGTGGAGGTAATCCTTGTACGCAGCCTTACCTTTGTATAATTGCAAAAGAAGCTGTTTTCTGGATTCAAACCTCGATTCGCCCAATGAGGAGAAATTATTTTTGGTAATTAGTTGTTATGTTATGTTCTCTTTAACTCCTGATAATGGAAGTTATCTGGATTACATGCTATATGCAGAACTGAACTAAGAAGAATGGAAGAAGTTTACAATAGAATATTGAAGGTGAGTGAACTAACCGTTCACTGCCAAAGGAAAGGCTGAGAAGAGCACACAGAGCAGCTTCTATGGCTTCATAGTTTTCAGAATAAAGCATAGAAATCAGAGGAACCATAACTCCAGTTTCTGCCAAATTGTGCCTCTGCTTCCTGCATAATCTACAAAGTTGCATGGCTGCTTGAATTTGAGTTTCTATATTACCATTCCAAAGGCTTTCCACGACCCCTTTCTCCATTGAAGCACTCTCTATGTGGTTTCTTCTTTTGCTGTGTGCCTTTGTATCTTGAAGATTGGTTGCTTGAAGAGGTAATGTTAAGCTTTTGTGGATATTCCAATCCATTGTTTCAGCAAGAAGCGACATACTATTCTTTTGGTTAGCTTTTTTCTTTCTCTTTGGTGTATGTTGGTATTAATAAAAAACAATATCGATTCCTAAGAATGAATCTTTAACTTTCATTATATAGAAGCAAACGCCGTTAGCTTTTGGTAGATTTTAAAAGATTCAGCGCGGTGTATTCGATTAGGATTTTAAAAGATTTGTTTTGAGATAAAAAATCTTATAGATTTTAAGTCTCCGCTTTAGTCCTATATAAGAATGAATATCATTTTAAATCTTCGAATGATTAATTTATTGACAAAATCTTTTTTTTTTTAAAAATAATAACGTTTTTAAATCTTTAAAGAACTAATCTGATTCATTCTTAGGAACGCACGTTTTTTTCGACAAGCTCCTTATTAGTTTTTTCAGTTCGACAAAATCTTTTTTAAAAAAAAAAACTAATAACGTTTTTAAATCTTTAAAGAATTAATTTCGATACATTTTTTTCATGAAATTATTATGGTGAAACATTAATATCTGATTGAGCAAGTGCCAAGTAGAGTGTTTATTTGTTCGAAGATTTTGTCAATAAATTAATCACTCGAAGATTTAAAATGATATTCATTCTTATAGAGGACTAAAGCGGTGACTTAAAAAGATTAATTCAGTTGGAAAAATAAACAAATTTGATAATCAATTAGGTATTTTCAAATAATTAATTTAGCGACAAAATATGTACAAATTGAATTCAGTGAAAAAAATTGATAATCAATTAGATATATTTGAATAATTAATTTAGTAACAAAATGTTTATAAGACTATTGTGGTAATATTTTAAACTTTTGAAAAATTAATTTGTTGATAAATATCTTTAAAGGACTAATATGATGACTATGAGTGTTAACGAGCCGAGCCGAGCCGAGCTTTGATCTTAACGGGCTAAGCCTGTATTTAAACGTGTCTGACTGGCCTTAGCATGTTACCTGTTACAAATATAATATTGGCCTGTGGCCTGGTTTATTTACAAAAAATAAAAGCCTGTGTGAAGCCTGTCTTAGCCTGTTAGCATGTTAAAGAATAAAAATAAGAAAACAGAATTCCACAAAAAATCAATTTCCAGATAGAAACTTTAGCTTCCAATTTGCAGCAATAATTTACAAAGTCTACAATAAATAAATAAAATTAAAGTGAGAGAAGGTAGATACCATGTTATATTATCTTAGCCCATTATAAAAAAAGTGCCAACAAAAATAAAAATAAAATAAATAAAATAAAAAATAAATTGACACAAACGAGCAGTGCACAGTGGAACGAATGAGTTTTTGTGGGTTTGTTTGTGCAAAGGAGGATGAAGGATAATATAGAACAACACTAGTAATTTCATAAATATACATAAATTCAATATATATTTAAATAGCATAATATAGAACAAAATCATTCAAAAAGTCTGTTAAACCAATAAAATAGGGTGAAATAAATTGATGAGAGGGAGTTATTACAAGTAGTATAAAAAGTATAAATAAATATTTATATACTAGGCTAGCCTGGGAGGCTCTACGGCCGAGCTTTTGAATTAGAGCCTAAAGCCTTTTTATTAAACGAGCTTTTATACAAGTCCAAGCCTGGTTCCAACACGAGCTTTTATTAAACGAGCTCAGACCTTTACGAACCGAGCCAAAGGCCCCTGAAAGGCCCCTGGCTCGTTTACCACCCCTAATGATGACACATTAATTTTTGAAAAACGGATTTGAAAATTTATTAAGAAAAATTATATAATCAATTGCAAAATTAATGAAATATAAAAAGAAAAGAAGAAAAAGATCCGAAGCAATATTACCAATCTTGCAATATTTCACCAGCAGAATCATGGTAGTATGTCAGTTGTGTCTATCAGTAAAAGGTGTTCTAAAAAAAATATCAATAAAAGAGGGAAAAAATGAGTGTTCTTTTAAAGAACACAAGAGTACGTCCTTTTAACAGTTTTTAATTATGCATTCTTTGAAATGTATAATTATAATATGAGAAAAATATTTCTGTAGTTACTGCAGATAAGTTATCTGCATTTAGGGTTCGCTTTTTCTGCAGTTACTGCAGATAATGATAAATTATCTGCAGTAAGCCCAATACGACATCGTTTTGAGCAAAAGTCATGGTGTTTTTATAATTTTAATTTATTTCGGGGTTATAATAGTCTTTATATTTATAATTTTTTAGGATTTCAATACCAAAATGACGTCGTTTTAGGAATTAATGCAGATAACTTATCTGCATTAACAGCAGAAATATTTTCCCCTTAATATTATAATGCATTCTTGGAATATATAATTAAAACTGCTAAAACGACTCACTAAACTTATAAAAGAGTATCTAAAATATTGTTGTAAAAAGCGGACTGGTCGGTTAACCTGAGAATCAGATTATTAACCGGTCTGATCCACTGATTAGATTGGTCATGTAATTAATTTGGTATCAATAATATATGAGATGTTAACCACTAAGCCATTTTATCAAATTGTGTATTAGGTTTATTTTATTTTACTTCTTATATATTATTTTATTAATAGAAAAATATTTTCTCATGTTGTTGAAGATATCTTGTCTCGTATCATAGAGATAAACATGTGGGGCATATCTTTTATAAAAAAAATAAAACTAAAACTAAAGGGACTCACATATTTGTCTCTATGACATGAGACAAGATTTTTCCAATATCACGAGATTAATAAATCCTTTTATTAATTCAATTTAAGTGGCTTAACCGATGACTCACGAGTTGAATTAGTGACCCATTAATTCGGTACCTCGATCGAGTTAATCACCGATCCAAGTTTAATAACAATGATCTAAAAGGAATTAATCCAATTAAATTTTTTTATTCTTATAATTTATTCTGTATTTATTTTTTCTTTTAATGTTTTCGTTTGCTTAATTAAAGCTTTCAATTTATTAATTATATTCAATGTTATTTCATTTTACATGCAATTTACATTCATCTCGGACCTCCTTATTTTAAAAGAGTTAAATTCAAAATAAAAATACATTTTTTTTTGGTTTGTTGTCCAGTAAAGATATTGTTAAGTTAGTTTTTGCATCAACGAAGAATAAAATTTTCTCCTAACACATCACAAATCAGTCTAATATATTTAAAAGAATTTTCTCCTAAGATTTGAACCCAAATAATTAAGGCCGACAGCGCACTAATATAAGGTTTTAATACTTGTTTGTCGTAGATAAATTTATTTTTTATAACCCAAAACAATATTGTTTTGGAATTTAGGTAAAAAATACAGAATATTTTAAATTTTTTACTTTCTTCCTGTATAATAAATTTTATTAAAATATCATGTATTTTTTTCAACCTAAAATGATATCGTTTTGATATTATAGAAGATAATTTTATCTCCCGAAGAAATGTTAATCACTTAATACAATACCATTATATATATCATGATTTTAAGCATATGGCCCTGCTTATTATAATGTGGCTTTATCACTGTATAAAAGATGAGAGGTTTTTATGATACTTTACACATTTTAAGAACATATCATGTTCCACAGTTTTATCATAAAACAATTTATGTGACTATAACTATAGTAGAAATATACTTACAAAATATTATTGCTCGTGAAAGAAATTATCCCTGACAAAAATAAAATAATAACAAGCAATTAATTTAACACTTGACAAACCAAGTGTTAAATTATAGGGATTTAACATTGATCAGTCCAAGAGTTATTGGACAGCCCTAACCTAGCCTGCTAAATTATAGGGATTTGAGGGCTAGGTTAAAAAGGTCCTACCACAAAAGGTCCTAATGGGTTAGGGCCAAATATAATACTTTGCGATCTGACCCGCATGCTTTAACCTATTTTAACACCTCTAGGGCTTGTTTGGTGTGATGTATAAGACATGATAATATAAGCTTATACTATACGTTATGACATTTTCAGTTGTTTGGTGTGACCATCGTATAGTATAAGCTTATACAACAGGATCTCTTTATACATCAAAATAATGTATAACTTATTCAGGTCTAGGAGTGGTGGATTAGGCCTGATAAGGGATTGATGTATTAATATTGCTTACAAATACAATTTTCAAGAACTAATATATCATTTCAATATTTATATATTAAAATACTTTTTTAAAAATATTTTTTAAAATATTGGAGGATATTATCTTATACAATATCATGCCAAACGTTGGATAGTATTAAAGTTTAATCAGGTCTTATACAATCAGGTCTTGTACTATCAGGCCTTATACAATACTATGCACCAAACATGCCCTTAGTGAATTAACTTTGATCAGTCCGAGAGTTATTGGACCTCACTACACATAGTTGAGTCTGGTCCAATAAATGTTTGAGATGAGTTTGCATCGGGGATCGTCTTTGATTTTGGATACTCCAACAACGAAATGATGGTGCTGGTGTTGGAGAACTTTGCTCGATTGAGACAAATGAGGGGAGACACTTGCAAGGCACTGAAGTCGGTATTTGATCAATACGTTTAAGTTATAATGGATAAGATGATCATACATGTGCTTTAAGATTTCATTTCATGGTTATTGAGTGACCTACTTATGCCACCTTAGTGTGGCGGCACTTAGTCTCATTGATGGGCTTATGTGATTTTTGTAGCCTATCCCATGTGCGGGATGCCTATTTGTTAATTATGTTCGCAATGCATAGCTAAAATCACGTGTCTGTCCCTTAACTATCGTATCTATATGTTTGCGGGATGATGTGCATGTGGATTTGACATGTTTCTTTACTCTCTTTTAGGGAAATTTTAACATGCTCCTAGACCATGATGGTCCTCCCATTAAGGGAGTGACATATGGATTTTTTTTCTTCTTCCCCTCTACTCTCTCCTCAATCTCTCTTTCACTCTCTCTCCTCCGCCCACCTTAT